TATCCATGCGTTGGGTTTCTGTCTACTTATTTGGGAGGCGATGGTACATGTTTGGGGAGGTCTTGTTTACTTGTTGGGAGGTCTTATTTACTTGTTGGCAGGTCGTGTTTACTGTTTGGGAGGTCCTGTTGACTTTTTGGCGCGGTCCCGTTTGCTGTTTGCTGTTTGCGGCACGGCCGCCGACTGAATCACCAGGCCGCCGCTGTCAGACCGCCAGAGGCACGTCCGAACGCCGGGGTGCCATCGTCGCCTGCGGAACGTCAGACCGCCAGGGGCGCGCCCGACCGTCGGGATCTCATAGCCAGATGCGGGCGGGACGCGGCCATCCATCGGGGCCCGTCTCGACGTGCCTGAACCGGCGAACATTTTTGTTGGCCCCGCCGCGGTTTCTTCGCAGACATGCTGCGCGCTCTCTCGCGAGCGGAGGCGCCATGGTGGTTGTGCGGCCGACGCAGGAAGCCATGGTAGCGTCAGAATGGGACAGCTCGGCTAGCGCGATGATGTCCCCGCGTGCGGTGCGCCAGTCGCAAGAGGTGGTGCAGGTGGCTCGCGTTTTTTTTTCAGTCATGTGAACCACTAGCCCCTGACCGCGGGTGCCCAAGTTCGTCGTTGAGATGGGCGGGGAACTGGCGGCGCCGAGCTGCCCCCCAGCGCCGCGCCTCCCCGTCGCGCCTGCATTGCACGTGCTTGACGCATTCGCACTCCGGGCCCTTGGAGGACGCGCCCCTCGGAGGCCCCTCAAGCGCCGCCAAGGGCTCTTGCTCCGCCAGGGCGCGGCAGCCGTCGTTGAAGACTGCTTCGGAGAACGCACTGTAGAACTCCCGCGGGCCCCTCGCGCCAGAGGCGCCGAGTCTTTCCCGCCCCAGCTTCGCGAGACCGAGGTAACGCATCTTCCTGGAAGCGCGCGCCCGCGGCGCCTCCCGCGGCCCTCCGACGTGGAACTCGTTCGCTTCATGAATGGGATCGGCATTCTGGTCGAGCCACTTTCCCAGCCGACCAGAGGCAATACCACCCGCCCACGCGGTCCACCCCACCAAAATATCAGCAGGACCAGGAGCGCACTGCGAGTTCCGGGCGAGAGGGGCCGTCTCGGGCGTTCGCGGCCAACCTCGCGGAGCTCCGCTCTGGCGACGTCGCCCAAGCTGCCGACGGCCAGGCGAGACAGGCATCCCGTCAGCCGAGCGGGCTTCTCCCACGCCAGAGACGTCGGAATCGGCGTCGAAGGGCGGGGCGCTGTGAGAGCGGCGCGCGGTTCGGCGCGGCGTCGGCCCCTCGTCGGCGGCGCCCTTGTCGGGGCCGCCGCCCTCCTCGGCGCCGCCGTCGCCGTCGTCGCCGCCGCCAGGGCTGGTTGACGGAGGCGCGCCAGAGGCGCCGCCCTGCGCGACGGCGCCGTCTCCTGCGCAGCCGCGGATGCCGCCGCTGGCGCGGGGGCAGCTGCTGGCGCAACAGGAGGCGGCGCTGGCGTGAACGTCGGGGGGATCGAATCTCGCGCGACGACCGATTCTGACGTGGCGGGCGACGTTGGCTGCCGCGGGTGCTCCGCAAGCTGCCGGCGCGCCGGGGCAGACCGCGGCGGCGCTGGGTCTGGCGCCCACTGCGGAGCAAGAGCGGAAAATCGCGCTGGCGCTGTTGGCGGCGCAGCTGCCGCGACTGCTGGCGCCGCCGTTGTCGCCGCTGTCGCAGCGGCGCGCGCGGGCAGATGCTGCGCCGCGGCGCCGGGAGAGCCTGCGCTGCCCTAGCGCGCAGCAAGCGCAGCGTAACCGACGCCGTTGTTGCCAGCGCTGTCGCTGCTGCAGCTGGCGCGGCAACTGCCGTTGCCGCTTGCGCTGCCGCTGTCGCAGGCGCAGCAGCTCGCGCGGGCGGCGTCTGCGCGAAGGCGCCAGACGCGCCAGAGGCGCAGCCCTGGACCGCTGCTGTCGGCGGCGGCGCCGTCGACGCAGATGCCGCCGCGGCTGTTGCAACTACTGCCGCCGCCGCCACTGGCGGCGCGGCTCGCGGCGCAGATGCTGCAGGCGCGGGCGGCGGCGCAGCTGCCGCGGCTGCCGGCGCCGCCAACGTTGCCGCTGGCGCAGCGGCGCGCGCCGGCAGCTGCTGCGCGGCGGCTGAGGGCGCGCCGGCGAAGGCCTGGCGCGCAGCAAGCGCTGGCATTGCTGACGCTGCTGCTGCTGTTGCCAGCGATGTTGCTGCTGCAGCTGGCGCTGCAACTGCCGCTGCCGCTCGCGCCGCCGTCGCCGCCGGCGCGGCGGCGCGCGCGGGCAGCGTCTGCGCGGCAGCGCGGGGCGCGCAAAAGGCACCGCCCTGGCGCCCTGCTGGCGGTGGCCGCAGCGGAGCTGTCGTTTCTGCTGCTGGCGCCGCTGGCGCTCCAGCTGCTGCCGATGCTGCTGAGGCTGGCGCTGCTGGCGCCGCTGGCACTGCAACTGCTGCTGCCGCTGACGTCGTCGCCGCTTGAGATGCGTCTGGCGCTGGGGGCCGCGCGCTAGAGGCGCCAGACGGCACCTCCAGCCTCTGGAAAACATGCGTTCGCATTCCGGACGGTTCAGGAAGAGAGCCCTGGCCAACCCCTCCTGCTGCTGCGAGATCTGGTCGCCTGAAGCGGGCGCCCACCAGACAGGCGAAAGATGAGCCGCCGTCGCGTTCACTGACGCGCCCACAAGAAAGCCGAAGTTATAGATCAACATGATCTCGAGGTTCCACGGGCTCTGGCGAGACTTGATGCCCCGCCCGCTTTCGTTGAACACCGCCCCTGCTGCCTCGCACTGGCTGGTCCGGTTGAGCGACGCTGTCAAACTGTCGCATGTCATCGTCTCGCGGAACGCGGTCAACTTAGCGCCAGGGGCAGCCTGGGCGATTCACAATGGAGTGATCAACAGACAAGCTCTTGGCACCTGGGGAGAAACTTCGCTCTGCCACTCCGCCCAAAAAAACAAGGCCTTGTCCACCCAATTCCTCGCATCGTGAATCCAACCCGACACGTGCGCCGACTGCATCGCCAATTCAGTTTCCACGAGCTGGAGGACTGACAGCGGAGCTGGCGGCGACGCCTGCGTCGGGGGCGCCGCTTCTGGCGCTTTCGCTGACAGTTTTGCTGACACCTTTGGCTAAACATGCAGCCGGCGCGCCAAAGGGGCAGCGCCCGACGCGCAAGAGGCAACGCCGCCTGAACTGCCTCCACAAGGCCTCTCGGGAGGTGGGCCGCCCACCGAAGCCGACATTGCCTCGCCTGATCAGTGGCTTTTCTCTCGAAGGCACAAACTGCTCTGAGGATGCGGGCGATGATGTGGGTGATGCCGGTGGTAATGATGACGTGGGTGCTGGTGATGATGATGATGATGCTGATGCTGATGATGATGATGATGATGATGATGATGATGATGATGATGATGATGATGATGATGATGATGATGATGGTGGTGATGGTGGTGGTGAAATGGTGATGACGGTGATGATGGGAATGATGACGGTGATGGCGCCACTGATGATGGTCATGTCGATGATGCTAATGATGACGATGCTGACGACATGATGATGACGGTGATGCCCGAGTAAACGGCGCTGCGGCGAGACTTCTTCTCGGGCGGGCAATTGCTGGCCGTTGAGCAGCCAGGGTGGGCCCTCAACGGAAGTCCCCTCGAGGGCCTAAATGGCTCTGAAGATGATGGCGACTGTGTTGGTGATGGCGATGATGATAATGATGGCGGTGATGACGATGGTGATGATGATGATGATGAAGCTTGGTTTTTGCAAATTCCTTTGAAAACTGTGATGGTGATCGATGGTATGCTGATGGTGATGACGGCGATGGCATGGCCGTGGCGACAGCAACGATGGCGACCACGTGACACTTCTTAATATGATGTGCCCCCGTGGTGGATCAGTAAGGAGGAGGAAACTTAGAGGAAACTTAAACACCCTCGAGTCATGAAACATAGCGAAGTAAAACTTTGGCTATGTGTAGCCTCTCGGGGTCCTCACTGGGCCTCAAGACCATCAGAAAACGGCTCGACGCGGGATGAAAAGCCGGTCCGGGGGAATGGGTCGAAACCTCCGGGGGCGACGTTGCGAAATAAGCATGACGTCGGGGGCTAGGGTTGCGAGGAGGAGAGCGGCAGCTTCCCAAATGAGGCCTGGGCAGAAATGGTTGGAAGACCGCGCCGCATCGCCGGCACATCTCCGTCATCAACACTCATACACAGACACCCTCCAATGGATTGTTCCTGGTCCTCAGGGGAGGGTGGCGGTGTAGGAACCACCGCAACCCTCCCGAAAGGTACATACAACATTTTGCCGGGCGTCTCTGTGAATATTTTCGTGGCGTAGCATCGACGAAGAACGAAGAGTGGGTTCCAGAACGCGCCGCATCGCCGCGCAGCTGCTGCGGCGCAGTCCTCCGATCCTGTCTGCTCCGATGCCCCGTGTGAGAGGCCTGGTGGCAGGAGCGGGAGGAAGGGCGGGCGGAAGGAGCCAGAACGAGCAGCAGTATGGGTACCTGCAGATGCCTCCTAGATCGGGTCCGAGTAGATGGGGTCGGAGGATCCCGCCGCATTGGCAGTGCATCGGCGATGCATCGGCAATGCATCGGCCATGCATCGGCGATTCATTGGCGACGTTGGCGATGTATCGGCGACGTCGACGTGAAGCAACTCGGGCCTCACATCGAGCCGCATCGGCGAAGCATCGGCGATGCGGCGCGCTCCTCCGACGCAATTTACTGCGACCTCATCTAGGAGTCCTAGAACCTACGGTGGAGGCCAGTCCACAAGAAACCTTCCACAAGAGACCCAACCCTGAGACCCCAGGACGTCCATGGATACTTGGTGTGGGAGCGTCGCGCTCTCCGAAAGCAAAACCATCGAAGCCAATACACCCAAGGCACCCTGGAGGCACGCAGGGTGCTTCTTGGCATGGGTCTCCACTGTAGCCCTCCTCTGAGGCCCAGGTCCACGGCGCGAGCGAGCGACTCCGCCGCGGCGCTGCCGGGAAGCAGCGGCCCTGGGCGCCGGCTACTCGTGCTGGTAGTTCCTGAGCCGAGAGGGCAAGGCGCCCTGCGGTCCGGCAGCCTGTGGCTGCGCCTGTCGTGAGGCGCCGAATTCGAGGTTGCTGAACTCCAGGCGCGAGGGGTCCGACCTCGCCTTGAGCTCCGCGGCACCCTTGGTCAGCGCATCCAGGAGCTTGGCAGGCCTCCTGTTCACCAACTGCTCGACCTCTTTGAAGGTCTGGTCCGTGTCCCCGATCGTCCGCTTCTGGCTCCGCCACTGGGAGTAGAAGTGGAACAGGCCTCCCGCGAAGACGCAGCACAGCGTATCGAACACCCCACGGTCCCCCGAGTTGCACAGCGACGACAGCGCGCCGCTCAGGAAGGCAGTCATCACCATCTGCGTGATGTTGACACACACGCAGGCGAGCGGGTAGTTCTGCTCGGCATCCTGGGCCAGGGTGAAGGCGCCCTTGAAGATATCGAAGTGCCGCGTGTAGAATGAGAACATGTGAATCACGTTTAACACGCCGTTGGCTCGATTGAGGTCCGTCCTCGGGTCCGTGTGCTGGAAGCCCATCACCTCCCAATGGCCCCCGATCGCCCCACAGACCCTGTTCCTGGTGAGTTTGAAGTACATGGTGCGGAGCATGCGTGCGTGAACGGTCTCATTGAAATCGAACTTGGTCATCTTCATCATGAGCACAAGGTCCTTCTCGGCACTCAGTTTCCGGTCAAGCCCAGGAACGTCGCTCACGGATCGCCTGCGCGCCATGCAGCCGCAACGTACGTGATCCATCTCCTCCTCACGCAGCGGCTGGAGCACTTCGGGGAGTATGCGCACCTGCAGGATCCACTGGTGCACCTCGCGCCAGGCTATACTCGACACGGAGGCATCCTGGTGACGCACCACGCCAGCATTGGCCTTTGCCCGCTCGGCGATCGCGGCCATCTCGGCAGTCCTTGCAGCCACAGCGCTCCACTCGGCCTCCATTCCTGGGGAACCCAGCAAGCACCGACGCCGATACCGCTACTCCCCTAACCTCTCCCAGGGTGCGTTCTGACCAGAATTTCGAGGTGAATCCAGCCGTGGCGACGAGGCCCTCCTAGGAGGCCCTAGAAGGCGAAAACGAGGCAAGGACATTGGTATGCACATCTTTTCCCCCTCTGAATACCTGCGTGCTCCACCACTCTGTCCTCCGCGGTCTCCTCCTGCCCGCCCTCAAGCGCTTCTCCAAATCTCTCTGCGGACACCTCATCCTCGCCCACGCAGGCCCGCACTGCGCCCTCTGTCCGGTACGCCTCCCGCAGCCCTGCCAGCGCCCGGCCGCTCCCAAGCCCAAAACCTATGCTGCCGCCGCTGTCGGCGGCGCTGCGGCCCGCAGACACATCGGCGCCGGCTGCGCCAGGTGGGGCGCGGCGGTGTACGGCCTGGTCGACCACATCCACCCGGCTCACAATGTTGGACATGGCAGACGGCCGCCCTCTGCCCGAACCCCCGCCCAGAGTGGCAGCGGTCGCCCTGGGCTCGTTGTCGCCAGAACCGACGTGGCGGGGGCTTGTCGGCTGCAGAGCGGGGGAGGGAATTGCCGGTGCTGGAGGGCGCGGTGCAGCTGGATGCGCCATGGAGCCGCGGGAGCCCCCCGACTGCATGGACTCTTGGGCGGGGCCAGGGCCGCCCTCGCATTGCCTGGCCGCGCTGCACACCTCGCACGACATGGCGGCGGCGTCGTTGTGGTGCGTGCAGCTGGGGCAGGGCCAGTCCGTGAGGCACACCGGCCGCGGCCCCTGCTCAAGGGCGCCGCCCTCGACGTGCCTCACGGCGCGGTCCATCATGTCCAGCAGCCCCAGCCCGCCCTCGCCGCCGACCGCAGCTGTGGACACCGGGGCGCCTCCGCCGCACACCGCCCGAGGCCCCGCGCCGCGGGCTCCCGCGGGCTGCTCCTGCGCTGCGCCGCGCGCGTGCTCGCGGGCGGCCACAGGCCGCGCCTCCGAGGCGCGCGCCGCGCACGGCACGGCGGCGGCGGCGGGCGGCGACACGGGCGACACGGGCGCCGCGGGCGAGGGCACCTGCGCCGTGGGCGCGGCGCTGCGCTGGGAGGCCTGCGGCCCCGGAGCGCCAGCGCGGGCCTCCCCCGCAGGCTCGGGCACGGCGGCGGCCGCTGGCCGGTGCTCCTCCACGGGCGCTGGCGCCCCCCGTGGTCGCGCGGGCGCCTCCAGCGGCAGAGGCAGCGGCCGGTCCCCCGCCACGGGCGCCAGCGCCGGCTCCCCTGGAGGCCTGGCAGGCGCCTCCATCGGCAAGGGCTGCAGCTGGTCGCCTCTGGGCAGCGGGGCCGCCCCGTCCTCCCCGCTCATCTCTATCTCGATCGAGTCCTCCTCCGCCTGCCTGTCCTGGAAGGCGGGCTTGGCGGGCGGGGGCTCCTCCCCGCTCATCTCTATCTCGATCGAGCCCTCCTCCGCCTGCCTGTCCTGGAAGACGGGTTTGGCGGGCGGCGGCTCCTCCTCGCTGGTCTCCATCTCGATCGAGCCCTCCTCCGCCTGCCTGTCCTGGAAGGCGGGCTTGGCGGGCGGCTCCTCCTCCTCGCTCATCTCTATCTCGATCGAGCCCTCCTCCGCCTGCCTGTCCTGGAAGGCGGGCTTGGCGGGCGGGGGCTCCTCCCCGCTCATCTCTATCTCGATCGAGCCCTCCTCCGCCTGCCTGTCCTGGAAGACGGGCTTGGCGGGCGGCGGCTCCTCCTCGCTGGTCTCCATCTCGATCGAGCCCTCCAGCCCCAGGGGGCCCTGGAGCGCGGGCTGGGCCGACGGGGGCCCCTCCTCGCCCACTTCTGCCTCCTGCACCTGCGCGTCCTCTAGCACGCCTCTGGCCGGCGCGGGCCCCGCGCCCGCCTCCGCCGGGCTCGAGACCCGCGGCTCCTCCAGGCCTTGCGGCGCCAACCTGGCCACCAGGGGCTCCGCACCGACCTCTGGGGAAACCCGAAGGCACCCATACCGCTGCCCCCCGCACCTCTACCGGGGCGCGTTCTGACCAGGATTTCGAGGCGAATCCAGCGGTGGCGACGAGGGCCTCCCAGGAGGCCCAAAAGGAGAAAACAGGCGAGGGGGTAGAGGCACGGTGGGGGCATTGGAGAAGGAACCCTTAGATAAGGAGTCCAGGGTCTGTAGGCTGGTGGAACTCCAATCGAGGCTTGGCCATGGATATCACCGCCGCCCTCATCAGAAGGAATCTTCCAGGGTCTGAAGCCCCCTGGGGGCATTCCTTAACTAACGCCCTCACCGTACGGGTACCTTTTCCTGATGGGCATGTTTTCCACCACCACCACCACCACCACCATAAGTCGGAAGGGGGAAGGAGGTGGAGAACGAGTAGGAGGAGGACGAGGATGAGGATGAGGATGAGGATGAGGATGAGGATGAGGAGGAGGAGGAGGAGGAGGAGGGAGGAGGAGGAGGAGGAGGAAAAGGAGGACCCCCTTCCCCTATAATTTATGGTGGTGGTGATTGATAACAAGCCCATACTTTCCTCCTCCGAGACCTCGTCGGCCGTGCTGCCGTCCCCAGGCTCCTCCAGCTCCGATCCGGGGTTGGCCAGGGGTCGCCCTGGCCCACAGCGCCCACGGGCTGCCGCTCACTTTGGGAGCCCCCGGGGGGAGGAGGAGGGGGAGGAGGAGGAGGAGGAGGAGGAGGAGGAGGAGGAGGAGGAGGAGGGGAGGAGGAGGAGGGAGGAGGAGGAGGAGGAGGGAGGAGGAAGGAGGAGGAGGAGGAGGGAAGAGGGAAGAGGAGGAGAGGAGGAGGAGGAAGGAGGAGGAGGAGGAGGAGGAGGAGGAGGAGGAGGAGGAGGAGGAGGAGGAGAGGAGGGGGGGAGGGGGAGGAGGGAGGAGGAGGAGGAGGAGGAGGAGGAGGAGGAGGAGGAGGAGGAGGAGGAGGAGGAGGAGGAGGGAAGAGGGAGAGGGAGGAGGAGGAGGAGGAGGAGGAGGGAGGAGGAGGAGGAGGAGGAGGAGGAGGAGGAGGGAAGAGGGAGGAGGAGGAGGAGGAGGGAGGAGGAGGAGGAGGAGGAGGAGGAGGAGGAGGAGAAGGAGAAGCAGGGCCCTCCGCCTTCCTCTCCATCCTTCTTCCTCTCCTGCCTCCCCTCCTCCTCCTCTCCTCCTCCTCCCTTCCTCCTCCTCTCCCTCCTCCTCCTCTCCTCCTCTCCTCCTCCTCCTCCTCCTCCTATCCTCCTCCTCCTCCTCTCCTCCTCCTCCTCCTATCCTCCTCTCTCCTCCCTCCCTCCCTCTCCTCCCTCCCTCCCTCCTCCCTACTCCCTCCCCCTCATCCCTCCTCCCTCCTCCCTCTCCTCATCCTCCTCCTCCTCCACCCTCCATCCTCCTCCTCCTCTCTCCTCCTCCTCCTCTCTCTCCTTCCTCCTCCTCCTCCTCCTCTCCCTCCTCCTCCCCTCCTCCTCCTCCTCCTCTCTTCATCTCTCCTCCCTCCTCCTCCTCCCCCTCCCCCTCCCTCTCCCCTCTTCCTCCTCCTCCTCCTCTTCCTCTCTTCCTCCTCCTCCTCCTCCTCCTCCTCCTCCTCCTCCTCCGCCTCCTCCTCCTCCTCCTCCCCCGTCGCATACGGCATCCCCTCCTCGTCGGCCTCCTCGGCCACCCTCTCGTCCGTTCTCCTGATCCGTTTTTTGACGACCCCGGGCCTCGGCAAAGGACCCCCAGAGGCAGAACATTTGCAAAAACACCCTCCGTCGGGATGCTCTTGCGACGCGGGGACTGGGCCCAAGGGCCAGATCAGCGAGCATCGAATCGGGAAATCGGCTCTCATCGGATTGCGCGTCGGATCGGACTGCATCGGCACGGCATCGAAATCGAATCGGGTCAGCTGCGCCTGGATGCACAACAGCACCATGCAAGAATCGGGCCGCATCGGATCGACGGAACATCGGAATCGAATCGGATCAAGCTGGCCAGCATCGGTATCGAACCGGATCGAATAGATCGAAACGGACCCTGAAGGGCAAACAACATCAGAAACATAAACTTTCGGAGCTCCGCGCGGATTTCGCGCATCGGCGCTGTGCCCCCTTCCCTGGGGATCCCAGCGCCGGTCCAAGAAATCAAATCCACGCGGACCGTCGAAGTGTTGTGCTTATGCGGTTTTTTCCTTGGAAATCGGAATTGTTCCTGAGGGGTCAACGACTCCAAAGTGTGTGGTTTGCAATGGGTGTGGTTGGCAACTGGCACCCTGGGGGGCACCTAAAAGGAGGGGGGCGAGGACCCGACAGAGCTCTCCGCCGCGCACCGAGGAGGCTCGACGAGGACCGCGTCGTGCCGACGAGGGCCTCCCTTGATGCCCCCCTAAAGGGAAAACGAGGGACAGGTGTCGGTATGGGTACCGTCGGGGCGTTGACCTAAGAAACCCTAAACAAGGAACAAGGCCCCTTTTTGCACAAGTTAGACTTCGATATCCCGTGGAAAGCCTCAGGAACACCTCAGGCAAGCTGTGAAACAATCAAGGAACACCGTTGAGCAGGGACTGACCGTCCTGGCATTCCTATAGGCCTACCACGAAATATTCTTAGAACCCAAAAATGTTCGAAAAACAAAACAATGTTCTTAGAGCATAAACCCGATGTGTTAAAACAAAACAGTCCTAGCCAAACATGTTCTAAGAACATTTCGTGGAAACCACAAAAGGTTCTTAGAACATTGTTTGGTAGGCCTATAGGCACGGCAGGACGCTTAGCCACTGCTTGACACCGAGCCACTCCCCAACGAGAAGGGTTCCTTCTTCGTTGCACTGCACGTTCTCCTCCTCCGATGCCCCTCTCTCGAACGGACCGACCACGCTATGTCTAGAATAAGACAAAGACGCAATGAACAGAAACTTTTGGCGCTCCGCGCGGATCTCTTGCATCCGCGCTGGACCCCCCTCCCTGGCGTGCGGAGCGCGCCAGGGGCGACGCCAGAGGCGCCGCCAGGGGGGCCCCAGGCGCCGATCCAAGAAATCCGCGCGGAGCGGCAAAACATTCTATGTCTATGGCGCAAAAAAAATCGTCGAATGTCGTCGCCGACCCCCAGAGGTCCGGACCCATTCCCCGGGACCGGCTTTTCATCCCGAGTCGTGGCTTGACGGTCTCGAGGCCCGGTAAGGGCCCCCGGTGGCCAAAAGTAAAGAGAAACCTTCCATCGTGCTTTTTTCCTAGCCCGAGGGGGTCTGGGGTCGTGGCCGAGAAGGGCCCCCTTGGCAAACCCCGCTGGCGGACTTTGGAAGGAAACTGAAAAACAGTCACACCACAGCCCAGAATTAATCCAGAAGAGTCGAAACATCGTCCACGGACTATCTCCTTGCCTATTTTCGAGCACTCCTCCTCTATAGAGGGACGTGCCCGACTGGAGAGAAGGGCCCCCTTGGCAAACCCCGCTCTGGCTCCGCCAGCTGCGCCCTCGCCTCTGCCGGCCCCGCCGCGGCGGACCCAGCAGGGCCCGCCCCCGAGGGCGTCGGGGGCCCCCGCGGCTCGGGCTCGGGCTGGCTCGCCCCCGAGGCCTCCAGCAGGGCCTCCGCCCTGCGGGGGGAAACAGGCAGCCCAGACCCCCTCGGGTGAGTCTTCCTCCTCCTCCTCCTCCTCCTCCTCCTCCTCCGCCTTCTCTTCTTCCTCCTCTGTTCCTCTCTTTCTCCTCCTCGAAGGCCAGGGCGGCATGGCCACCAGGCTTCTCTCGTCCTCCTCCTCTCTGCCCCGTTCCCCTGCTTCCTCCCAGGACCCCTCGAGTCAAGAGAAAGTCACGACGGCCAATCTTTTCTGCTACTCTCGGCCTCCAGGGGCCCTCGCCGGGCCTCGGGGCCGTGAAAGAACGGCTGTTCGGGATGAAAAGCCGGTCCCGGGGAATGGGTCGAGACCTCTGGAGGGCGACACTGTGAATCAATCATAACGGCGTGGGTCCGGGTCTTCTCTTCCTCTGCCTCCTCTTCCTGATCTCTCCCTCCTCCTTCCCTCTTCTTCTTCTTCTCCTCCTTCTCCTCTCTCTTCTCCTCCTCTCTTCCTCTTCTCCCTCCCTCTCCTCCCTGAGAGGTCAACGATCTGAAACGAAACATGACGTCGGGGGTCTGGGATCGGTTGGTCGTTACAATTTTAGGTGGCCGCGGGTTGGCGACAAGCCCCAGCTCCCTTGCACCACAGTCGCACGTCGCGACGGATGGGGACCGAACGAGGGCCCGAAAAGCGAAACGAAGCCAGGGGCCAGAGAAGACACCACCGCGGAGGGACCACGACCGAGGGGTGCTCGTTAAGGGGGGGCCCCAAAGGGGGGCGGGGGGTGGGGTCGAGGATTGCAGGAAAGGAGCCCAGCAGGAGATCTTGAGGGCCCCTGATGGGCCCCCTCCCCAGGGGCCCCAAAGGGGTTCCTCTGGAGCACCAGAAGTGCCCTCTTCTCCACCCCCCTGTATTATTGGCCCCCCTTGAGTACACGAAAAGAACTACCGATTCCGGTGGCCTACATGACCTCTCCCAAAGCACGCTGTGACCAGGACTTCGAGTCGAGGCCATCCGTGGCAATGAGGGCCACCCTGGAGGCCCAGAGAGGCGAACACGATGGGAGGGCATAGGGGAACAAAACGTGTCATAAACATAAAAACTCGGAAGTCCGCGCGGATTTCTCGGATCGGCGCTGGACCCCCTCCCTGGCGCGCGGAGCGCGCCAGGGGCGGCGCCGGAGGCGCCGCCGGGGGCCCCAGAGCGCCGATCCGAGAAATCCGCGCGGACCTCCGAGTTTTTGTTTATGTCACGTTTTGTGCCCCTAGGGAAGGGCAGTGGGAAACAACATTCGGGTGGTTGCTAGGTGGGGCTCGAGGGTTGCAGGAGAGGGGGCCCTGCAGGGGACCCTGGGGGCCCCTGAAGAGCCCCCCTGAGGGGCCCCTTCAGGCCCCAAAGGTGCCCCTTTCTTCGCTCTCCCCTTGGTTGACCCCCTCCTCCTCCTCCTCCTCCTCCTCCTCCTCCTCCTCCTCCTCCTCCTCCTCCTCCTCCTCCTCCTCCCCATCACCGACCACCCGAAAAGAGGCACCGATACCGCTGGTCCACATGACCTGTCCCGGGGGCCGCTCCGCCCATGACGTCGAGGCGAGTCCACCCGTGGCGACCTGGGCCTCCCAGCAGGCCCAGGGATGCGAGAGCGAAGAAATGGCAACGGTATCGTTGGCTCACCCCGGAGATCCGAGGTCAGGATCTTCTGAAACAAAAAGTCCCTGGAAATCCCGACCGAGGGCGAACACGGGCTCCGCTGAATCCGGAGATCGTATGGAGTCGTACGGCCATTGTGAGGCCGATAGTGGAGCCGATGCAGTGAGATTGACAGTGAAATCGGGTGGGAGATCGCACGTGCGATCTATAGTGATATCGATTCACAAAGGGACCAAACCGAACCGAGAACCGATAACCGTGACCGAACGACCGTGGAGTCGTAGGGAGATCGTTCCACAGGGCTGGCTTTTCGTCCCGAGCCGTTTTCGACGGCCCTGGGGCCCAGCGAGCACCCCCCTGGGGCGAAAGCATGGAACACACACCCCGGTGCTTTTTTGTTCAGCACGCCGGAGAGCTGGGCCCCTCCCCTTCGGAGGCAACCCATGGGAGCCTCTCATGCCCTCGTGCCGACTCCTGCGAATCCACGCTGACCGACGACAATCGGCGCCAATGGGCGCTGGATCAACGCGGTTCGACGCTGTATCGACGCTGCACCGGCACTTCCTCGTCGATCACCAGGCGCTTGCGCACGCCCGTGCACTCTGAAGACGGAGTTGCAAGAAAGTACAAGGCTCCCGCAAAGCATAATAAGGAGTTACGACGACTCCGCACGAGCCGACCTGAACCAGTCAAACTCGTGCAGCGAACCTCGGCCTGGGAGAGAATAGCGGAACACAAACAAGAAGACACCGATGCCTACCAATGACACGTACTGCCTGGGAGCGCCGTGCCGAGGAGACGGAGTACAGTGGAGGCCAGTCCACAAGAAACCTTCCACAAGAAACCCAACCCCGGAACCCCAGGACGTCCATTGATTTTCGGTGTGGGAACGTCACGCTTCCCATCGCAAAACCATCGAAACCCAAGACACCCAGGGCACCCTGGAAGCAAGCAGGGTGTTTCTTGGCATGGGCCTTCACTAGACTGCTCCGATGGGGTTGGAAGATCGCGCCGCATCGCCAATGCATCGGCGATTAGCCGCATCGTCGATGCAGCGCTGATGCAAAGCGAGCCATCGACCCCATGCCCTTGGACCCCATGTGTCAAAGGGCCCAAGGACACACAAATGAATACACACAAATCCCAAGATTCGCCGTATTTCCTTGTATATTCTGGAATCTCGTCTTCCCCACCACTTGCCATATTTGGATTTGTCCTTGGGGATCGACGATTAACTGTGCTTGGAGGCCTTGAGCCGATGAGCCGGAGGACGAAGAAGAAGAGAGGAGGATACAGAAGCGCCCGTGCCCGGGCGCGCCGTGCAGAGGAGAGGGAGGGAGAAGAGGAAGAGAGGAGGAGGAGAGAGAGGAGAAGGAGGAGGAGAAGAAGAGGGAAGGAGGAGGGAGAGATCAGGAAGAGGAGGCAGAGGAAGAGAAGACCCAGACCCACGCCGTCATGATTGCTTCACAATGTCGCCCTCCAGAGGTCTCGACCCATTCCCCGGGACCGGCTTTTCATCCCGAACAGCCGTTCTTTCACGGCCCCGAGGCCCGGCGAGGGCCCCTGGAGGCCGAGAGTAGCAGAAAAGATTGGCCGTCGTGACTTTCTCTTGACTCGAGGGGTCCTGGGAGGAAGCAGGGGAACGGGGCAGAGAGGAGGAGGACGAGAGAAGCCTGGTGGCCATGCCGCCCTGGCCTTCGAGGAGGAGAAAGAGAGGAAGAAGGGGATGAGGAAGAGAGGGGGAAGACAAGCTAGGTGCGCTCGCGTCATATCTGACGTCCTACCCCTCCCTCCCATCCCTTACCATGGCGCTGATTTTCTCTATCCGCGGACGCGTGTCGTAGCGGACTTGTGGCTCCGCGCGCGCGTGCGTAGTGGGTGGTGGTGCGCGTGCGTGCGTGCGTGCGTGCGTGCGTGCGTGCGTGCGTGCGTGCGTGCGTGCGTGCGTGCGTGCGTGCGTGCGTGCGTGCGTGCGTGCGTGTGGTGGTGGTGGTGGTGGTGGTGGTGGTGGTGGTGGTGGTGGTGGTGGTGGTGGTGGTGGTGGTGGTGGTGGTGGTGATGGTGGTGTGGTGGTGGTGGTGGTGGTGGTGGTGGTGGTGGTGGTGGTGGTGGTGCGGCGCGGTGGTGGCGGGCGGATGGGCGCGCGAGAAAGAGGCCCGCGCTGGGGCGAGAACGCCATCCTGAACGACGGAGGCCAAACACCGATCCGAAAATGAGGCCCACGCTGCAGCGGGAGCACGATTCGGAACGATTCGGGAGCAGAAATGAGGCCGGCGCCTCAGCGAGAGCAACATTTTGGAAACAAACACAAACGAAAACCCGTTTCCCGGGAATCCTGTGTAAAAAAACAATACGCGGGGGGGTGTCGGATATCTTCGGGACGCCATCAGGGGAAGTGGGAGAGTATTTTCAAAATGTGTAATTGTAAAGACGAGGACGAGAGGAGGAGGAGGAGGAGGAGGAGGAGGAGGAGAAAGAGGAGGAGGAGGAGGAGGAGGAGGAGGAGGAAGAGGAAAAAGAGGAGGAGGGAGGAGGAGGAGGAGGAGGAGGAGGAGGAGGAGGAGGAGGGAGGAGGAGGAGGAGGAGGAGAAAGACTGATATTTTTTTGGGGGGGCCCTGCCATCCTGGACTCCAGCGAGGCCTCGCTCGGGGCGCGCGCCTCGGCCTCGGCGCCCGCGGCCACGATGCCCGCGGCCGCCTCGAGCGCGGGGTGCGGCTCGGCCTCGGCGACCTCGGCCGGCGTGGCCTCTCGCAACACCGCGGGTGTAGCAAGCGACCACAACCACACCGAAGATACACCACACCCTGGGTCTTGCCCATGCCAAGACTTGCCAGAGCATCGAAACAGCTCCATGCTGGTTGTGGTCGGCGTGGCTTCCCAGGGCGGCCAAGTCGAACACAACCACGACGAAACCACTCCATGTCGAGATCGGCGGGTTCTCCCCCGAGAGGCCCTCCAGAAAATCCACTTAGTTCGAACGGTGGCAGAACTGGTTTTAGCGGGACATGGTTTAATGATCTGCACCGGGGACGCCCTCCCCGTCCCATTCCACTAACCTGAATTGCCGTCACACGAAAAACACCAGCTACTGCAGACCTGGTTTAGTGATTGTGGCCCATGTAGGGGCTGGACTCCAGGGCCCTACTACTAACCGGGTCCCCTTACCTGGGGTCCTGGCTATATCCGAGGGAGACCCTCCTTGAGCAGGGACCGACCGTCCCAGCACTCCTATAGGACTACCACGACATGTTCTTAGACTTAGAACCCCAAAATGTTCCAAAAACAACAACAATATTCTTTGAGCACAAACCCGATGTGTCCAAACAAGACAGACTCCGCCAGAAATGTGCTAAGAACATCCCGTGGATACCACGAAGGGTTCTTCAAGGGCTCCCAGCTTCGCGCTTCGCGCTGCGCGAAGCGCGAAGTGCGAATAACTTCGCGCTCTCGCGCCGCCTCCCAAGGGAGAAGAGGAGGATGAGGAGGAATCGGAGCCGAACCGCGAGGCGCGAATAACTTCGCGCCTTCGAGGGCACCCTTGGCTCTTAGAACATTCTTTGGCAGGCCTATAGGCGAGCCAGGACGCTTCGCCACTGCTTGATCTTTCTTGCGCCCGGAGGCACCGGCCCGGCAGGGGCGGCGCCGCCCGCCGCGCTCGGCAGCGAGGGCGCCGAGCCTGCCTCCTCGCAGGGCGGGCAGGCCAAATGCCCTCCTTCTGCGGCAACGCATAGGTCGTGCAGGTCCCCCTCCAGGCGGGTGTTGGACGAACAAAACAAATTCCCCCCAAAATGCCCCAAGCCGAATTTCAAGAATGGTCACAAAATCGTCCCTGGACTGTTTCTTGACTATCGTTGAATAGTTCTCCTGTAGAGGGACAGGCCCGACGTAAGGCAACTCATGAAAGCCTCCCACGACGACGACGACGACGACGACGACGACGACGACGACGACGTCGACGACGACGACGACGACATCGACGACATCGACGACGACTATGTATCATCTTGTTGGCTCTTGCGAAACGACCTAATCGACGCTAAGTCGATGCTCATCGACGCTAATCGCTACATCGACGCCAATCGACGATACATCGGCGCGATCTGCTCGATTACCATACGCTACTCGACGGTAGCGCACTCTAAAGACGGAATTGCGAAGACATACATGGCTCTCAAGAATTGGGACTAAACCCTTCTACCTAAAGTGAAGCCAAGACAGGGCCAACATCCGACAGGGGAGATCGGACATCTTCGAGATCCAGCGGCTCTGGAGGATGTATCGGGAGCCGCGGCCATCTCAGAGCGTTCCGGGACGCTCTCAGACAGTTCTCGAGCGCTCTGAAACGATTCAGCTCTGTCCTGGCCACGCCCTACCCCCACCTCCCCTTGATGGGCCTGTTTTCCACCACCACCACCATAAGTTGGATGGGGGGAAGGAGGAGGAGGAGGAGGAGGAGGAGGAGGAGGAGGAGGAGGAGGAGCAGGACCCCCTCCCCCTCCAACTTGTGGTGGTCGTGGTGGACAACAGGCCCATCATCCCTTGGTTTCTCCACGACCACGACGGTGCTCGACAATGCTCGGCCTCCAGGGACCCTCGCCCGGCCCCTGGATCGTGTCAAGCAGTAACTTGGGATCGAAAACCTGCCCTGGTTCGGGGGCGGTCAACAGGGGGGCGTCCAAGAGGGGGGGGCACAAATCATGGCCAGCGGCATGTGCGCGGCCCATGGGGGGGAGCAGGGAAGTCATGAAATAAGAAGAGGCGCCATACAATCTGGGGAAATATCATGGTCCACGCCATGATATCCACCCCCTCCTAGTCATCACCCCCCTCTCTTTTCCGCCCCCGACTGGTGAAAGGGACGAGACTTCCAGGGACCATGTATTGAACAACAAAAAAGTCTGGGGAACCAGGGCTGAACCTAAACGGCGGTGCTTTTCGTTTTCGTTATGTTTTCGTTTTCCCTCGTCGTGTCTTCAATCCGCCTTCACCGCAAAACGACGTCGAAACGAAAACGGCTCACGAAATCGTCAAAACACCGTTTAGGTCCCCCCCCCCCTGTGGGGAACCACCCCTCTAGCACCCCCATGGCAGCGAAGACCTCTGGTAAACAAGCCCACAGGGGAAGGACTTCGAGCAGGGCCAGGCCGTGGAGTGGATGCCCAGATCCGTTGATAGTAAACGCAAACCATGGAGGTCGGTTGCATTGAATTCGCTGGGCTAACGGACCAGACTAAAATCACCAGTGCGTGCTAGAAGCTCTCATATGAGCTCCGCAATATATTTTTAGTTCGCGCGCGCGGGGCGTCCCCTAGGGTTTCAGGCCGAGAAACACCCTGTGAGACGCTGGGCCAAAGATGTTTGTTTTTTTCTGGGCGTGGCCCTCAAGGCTCCCGAGGGCGCTCCAAGTCAACAGGGCGCTCCAGGAACAGGCTCAATAACATGCCAGGACGACCTTTGAGCTCCAAATGGCCGAAGATGGCCTGAGGGCCCCAAGACAGCCCAAGACCGCTCCAAGGCAGCACGGTGTCGCACCAAGCAGCCCAAGAGGCACCCAAAAGCGCCCAGAAGGCCTTCACGATGGCCCCAAGAAGGCTCCAGAGGGCCCAAAACTGAAGCAGGAGGCCTCCAAGGGACCCACAAGATCGCCAAAGCCAGCCCAAGGCTCCCTGGATTACCATAGTACGGCCCAAGAGGGGCTCAAGACGGCCCAAAGACAGCCAAAGAGGTCTCCCAAGAGGGCTCCAGAGGCCCCCAAGAGGGCCCCGCGAAGGGGAAATCTGAACTGACATGCCGAACCTTCCTCGAAACATGGCCCTCGAGATCACCAGCATGCTTCCGTGAGGCCGGCCAGAGGCACCATAAGACCCAATAGACTGCCCCAAAATGCTTCAGGAGTTCCCAACGATTCCCAAGAAGCAATTGAGATGCCACCTCCACCTCCTCCACCTCCTCCTCATTCTCCTCCTCCATATCGCAAGCCACGAGCACACCAACAGAAAACAACAGCGAGGCAACATGGGCTGGCGGAGTGAACGAAACGATTGGCAGAACGTGGCATGAACAATTACCTGGTGACGTACCCAACCCTTTTCTAACACGGGGCAGCTATATCAAGGACCGCTAAAAACAAACGAACATAAGGACAGATGCACACTTCGCAGCCCGACCTCCACCCCGCTGGACCTCCCACGAGCCCACAAACATATGGCGACAGTACCGCGGTCCGCAGCCCCGCTGAGAGCCTCGAGGTCTCGGCAGGTCCGCGTGGACCTCCACTCCGCTGGACCTCCCAGGAACCCACGAAAACTAAGACAATTGTGCGCGGCTCGCAACCCCCAAGGAGCCGCGAACTATCAGCTGGGTCCCTCCACTCCGCTGCAAAAGGCCTACGAAAATGGCGACAACTGTGCGGTTCACAACAACGCAGGAAACCGCAAAGAGCCGCGAGGTCTCGGCAAATCCACGTGGACCACTCCGCTGGACCTCCCACGAGCCCACGAACGTGGCCTAGAATTGTGCGGTTCGCAACCCCCCTCTGGGAGCCGCGAAATATCGACTGGATACCCGTGTCCCCTCACGTACTCCGCGGGACCTCCCACAAGCCCACGAAGGAAACGACACCTGCGCACTTCGCACCCACCCGGGGAGCCGCGAGATCTCAACTGGATCCCCGTGTCCCCCCACTCCGCGGGACCTCCTAGGGGTGACGAAACAGGCGACAATTGCGCACTTCGCAGCCCCCCAGGCAGCCGCGAGGTCTCAACTGGATCCCCGTGCACCCCCAATCCGCTGAACCTCCCAGGAGCCCACGAAAGAGGCGACACTTGCGCACTTCGCCAAACGCGAGGTCTCAATTGGATCCCCCTCCCCTCCACTCCGCGGGACCTCCCAGGATCCCACGAAAGAGGCGACACTTGCGCACTTCGCAACCCCCCAGGGAGCCGCGAGATCTCATCTGGATCCCCGTGTCCCCCTATTTTGCGGGACCTCCCAGGAACCTACGAACATGACGACGTATGCGCACTTCGCAGCCCCGCTGGGAACCGCGAGGTCTCAACTGGATCAACGTGTCCCTCCCGCTGCGCGGGGCCTACTGGAAGTGCACGGCAGTGACGATATTTACGCACTTCGCGGCCCCCCGGGACCGCGAAGTCCCAACTGAACCCCTCGTGTCCCCCCACCCCGCGGGACCCCCCAGGAGCCCACGAAAGTGGCGACCCTCGCGAACTTCGCAGCCCCCCGGGGAGCCGCGAAGTCCCAACTGAATTCCCGTGTCCCCCCGCTCCGCGGGACCTCCCAGGAGCCCACGAAACTGGCGACCCTCGCAAACTTCGCAGCCCTGGGGTCGACGGGATGAGGAAAAAGAGGAGGAGGAGCAAGAGGAGGAGGAGGAGGAGGAGGAGGAGGAGGAGGAGGAGGAGGAGGAGGAGGAGGAGGAGGATGAGGAGTAGGAGGAGGAGAAGGAGGAGGAGGAGGAGGAGGAGGAGGATGAGGAGTAGGAGGAGGAAGACCAGTGTAAACTGAAGAGTCACCAGCGATGTTGGAACACATCCTCCTCAAACTCCCTCTTCATTGGGCCCCACAGCGGTTCATTTCCACAGAGGGACATGCCTCGTGGAAGACAGCCGCTCGAAGACCTGAAGCATGTCAATACATTGTTTTCGGGATTCCAACGCCACGGATCAACCGGACAGTTGCGTCGTGACGACCCTGAATCGTACCAGAACGCCATTCTTGAGACTTGAACAACGGGATCAATCGTAACTGTTGCATCCATATACTACTGAATCTTTCCAGGAAACCATTTCCGCTACTTCGATCATGGGAACCCGTGGAACTATGGCAAATTCTTGAAACGAATATGCGCGGCGCTGGAGCGAGAGCCGCGTTTTGAATAGGAGCCGCCCTCAATCCGCGAAGCTTAACCTCAATAGCACATGTGCGCGGCGCGAAGGCGAGAGCCACATGTTGAAAACCACCCGCCCTCCGCATGTGAAGCCGCTGCCGACTGTTATGCTTCAGGGTCGCAAGCCGCCCTAAAAACTTGCCTCGGGGTTCGACAGGGAGAGGTTATTGATAGGGAGCACGAATGGAGGATGATGATGCTGAGGAGGAGGAGGAGGAGGAGGAGGAGGAGGAGGAGGAGGAGGAGGAGGAGGAGAAGGAGGAGGAGGAGGAGGAGGAGGAGGAGGAGGAGGAGGAGGAAGGGGAGGAGGAGAAGGAGGAGGAGGAGGAGGAGGAGGAGGAGGAACGCACGCGACCAAGGCTGGAGGCGGGCCAGCAGCAACAGCAGCGAGAGGAGAGATGTCAAGGTCCTCCGCGCCGCCGTACTACCTGAGCATTGAGCTACCCTATGAAGGTGCCAGCCGAGCGCAACGCCTCTTCAGTTGCTTGAGGCGGGCGCGCGCGCGCCCCCCGGCAGACCAGCCTCGGACGAACCGGCAACAGGCTGCCAAATGGGGCACTGCGCAGAAAAGAAGCTGGGCCAGCGCGCACGGCCCCCAGCAGACCAGCCTCGGACGAACCGGCAAATGGCGCGGCGGGCCGAGCTGCGCTGGCCACGCCAGCAGCGACTATGCTGTGCAGAGACCGCGACCCGCGGCACACGGCGACCAGCCGCGCTCGGCCCAATCGGTCGATCGCAGAAGTCGGCAGACGTCGCGACGAGTGGCGACGGGAGTGGTAAACGTGAAAACCCTTATCAAGATACAACCC